ATGGAGACTCCACCATTGGGTAGTAGACTGTATTCCTGCCCAATCAGATCAAGTCAGCCAAAGTTGCCACGCCCGTCCTGGACCCTAGACTCCAGTCTTTGACTTGATCTTGCCCAAGACAGACGTTGCAAGTTTGGCTCTAGGCAGGTATTATTTCTCAATGGTGGAATTTCCACTCCCCTTCTTTAATTGGGTTTCCCTTTAAAATAATCTTTCTCCTTCCCTTCTATTAGGGGTATTGAGCCTTTTAAAATTTGCCCTTCCAAGGAAGGGGTTCCTCCCTCTGTCTCTCCCCCCCCCTCCAAATTCCCTACCGGGCCTTTCTAACGGAGGCTAACGGCTGTTAGCCTCGAAAAATTAACTCCTCACACTAAAATTACCGGTAGGAGACTAACGGCTGTTAGTCTCCAAATTCCTCAGAGCCGACTGAGCTTGCGGCTGCAGCTCCACAGGCTGTCGGAAGGTTTGGGAAGGCCCGGGAGGGGGGGGGGTGCCTTTTCATTTTCTGTCGATTCCTTCGGAAGGAGACCAACGGCCGTTGGTCTCCGGAGTCGTCTATTTTACGGAGCTTGCGTTTGCAGCTCCGTGGATGCGTGAGGCAACCGATCGCGGTTATTTCATTTGCGGAGCTGCGGAGGCAGCCCGGGGCCTGTTGTTTGTTGCTAGGCCTTCTTCTGGAGATTGGGAGCGCCTGGAGGTGCGCGCACGCGCACGTGCAGCCTCTATTCCGATCAGGCATCTAGCGAGCTGATCGGAGAGTGAGGGAACATTTTTCTTGCTGTTTTTCTCCGTTGCTTGCTCGCGTTGCAGAGACAACAGGCCGTGAGTTCGTTTCCTATTGCCTCATTGCGGGCAGAGTCGTGGGAGGTCGCCATTTGGACCTCGCGGTCCCTGGTTATAGGCCGCGGCCGCCATTTTGGGCAGCATACATTTCAGCCAGGCCTTCACTCTGATTTCCTTGGGGGGGGGGGAAACAAGTAAAATTGGTTCGTTGACTAAAAAAAAAAAAAAAAAAAAAACTTTTAACAGTATTTCCATCCCTTAATTCCAACAAGGGCTGGAGTAATCACAGGATTTTTAAATCAAGGGCAGGCCACCATTTATCTTAACGGCCGCCATTTTGTATATCCCTCCCTATATTTCTAGTGAGCACCTGTTGCTTCTCAATTATTCAGTCAACCTTCAGTCTCAGTTAACTACTTCTTCTTTGGTTTGAAGTCTCCTGGTCCTTTAATTTGTTTTTTTACAATTGGCACTGACTGGGATTCCAGACAACCCCTATAGAGTGTCTGTCCTTATCCCAGCATTTAGATACGAGTTCCAGGCGACCCCTATAGAGC